AAATAAATCCTGAGGAAATTGATCTTACTAATCCTACAACGGTCTTTGATAATGATATTAGTATTAAAGATCCAAATGATGATGATAAAATTGATGATCATCCAAAGCGACGAAAAATTTCAATAGATGTATCACAGAACTATAATGATTTAATTGGGAAGGTTAAATCTGCATTATATATAGCAATGAAACATTATTGGAATATACCTCAAGATGAAGGATTGATAGCTGCATTCTTGGATCCAAGATGTAAATCTCTTAGTTTTGCATCTGAATCACAAATAATTAGAACGAAAATTCTCTTAAGAGAAATTTATGAAAAAACTAAAGAAGATTTAGGCATAGTTCAACAGCAACCATTACAATCACCTGAAAATTCTCTTCTTCAAAATATATTTGCTAATCGTTATCGACCTGTAAGGCATGATGAACTTGAAAAATATATAATGATGAAGGAAACAGATTTTAGTACTTGTCCTTTTAAATGGTGGGCATCTCAGAAATCACGCTTTCCAATCTTATCACAATTAGCAAAAAAGTACTTAGCTATTCCGGCAATATCTGCTTCCAGTGAAAGATTATTCTCTGATGCCGGAAATGTTATGACAGTTAAACGAACTGCTTTATTGCCATCTACCTTTGAACATTTAGTATTTTGTAAACGAAATTGGCGTCTTCTTGGTAAGATTTTTCCAGAATCTGAGCAATTTGATTAGGTCATATAGTTAAACTGTGTGGGAATGAGAACAATCTTATTGGGTGCGTGATTGTAAGCGAAGACAAATATTTTGTGTTATACGTATTGTAGATCATTAATAAATCAATTATATTTGTTCTACTATGATACCGTAAATATAATTGTTATAAAGTAAAATTTTTATAAAATTATTATTGAGTAAGGAACGGATTAATTGTTTTAATTGTTTTGTAAATTTTCTATTGTTTATTTTTATAAATATTATAAATATTATATATTTTATATGACATTAAATGACGTGATATGATATTATTTATGATCGACAATACATATTGCATATATGAAACAATATAAAATACACGTATAGCGAAGTTTCTTTATTAACTTTGAAAAAAGAGAAATTAAATTAAATTATCAATTATGAAAAAAAAAACCTTAAATAAAATTTTTATTCAAAAGATATCCTGGATATCCGGATAATTTAGGATATCCGGTTAATATCTTGGATATCTGGATATTATCTGGATAAATTATCTGGATATCCGGATTGAAACAGATACAAGTTAATCGGATATCCGGATGAACGGATATAAACTCTATATCAAACTCAAAAATGCTATACATTTGTAAAACAAAGGTTATGGCAACTATAACGCATAACTAGTATTATAGATAAATGAAAAAATATGATATAAAGGGCTTTAGGATTATTTGAATTAATTCTAGGATGTAAAATTTGTTAGATTTATTGAGGATTGATAGCTATTGAACCAGATTTTTTGTCAAATTATATTCTTGCGGGTTTATTAGAAATCCCGACAGTAATAATCCTGTCCTGATGGTCTGAATCCTGACAGCATAATCTTGATAATCTACGATCCTAACACTAACGAATACCCAAAAGTTTATATTACTGATATCACCAAAATCCCGACAATCACAGAAACCTGATAAGCATAAATCCTGACAAGCAAATAATCCTGTCAAATCTTATATTTTATATTTAACTTATTTAACTAACTAACCCTAATCCATATCCTAACTTAACTCTAACCCTAATCCTAACCTAATATGTCAGGATATTGGCTATCTGGATTTTGGACTAATCGGGTTTTTTTGTTTGTTAGGTTTATGGATTATCGGGATTATGCTCTTGTTAAGATTTTTGGATATCGGTTTTTGGGTTATTTGGATTATGATGTCAGAATTCTAGTTAGGATTTTTGGGAAAACAGATCGCGTAATTTGCCATATAAAACAGATATTTATCATACAAATTAAGATGTGAAATAGGTGAAAGATGAAGAAGGTGTTGCTTAACGATATTTATTGCCATCTTTTTTTTTTGTAAAGATAAATTCTACAAATTATTTTTGAAGCTGTGATATATTATTAAGTTCAGTCAATAACAGCATTATTATGATTTTTTTCAAATTTCATAGTCCAGCTTTTAATAGATTTTTCAATATTTTTTTTACTTTTACGTTTTCACGATAATAGGAAGCTTTTTCTTAAGAAATATCTTGAATATTGTTTGTAATAGAATCGTTAGAAATTAAACTAGCTGCTATTTGAAAACTGATAACGCTAACAAAAGTTTATTGAAGTAAAAAAATGATAATGCCAAAAAAAAAATAGATAAAAAATTGTATATGATATACGGAACCGTGAAATAACTATTACATATAACCCATTTGGTTGGATATATTTGGTGGAGGTCATGATATTTATTGTAATAATAATTCTAGTTTCTTATACTCAAGTAGATATGCCAAAACGAAAGATTTTTGGATCCCGAATATCTATCAACTCGATAGTTACGCTGCTTGGAAGTTGTAAACTCAGTAGTGTTGAGGTTTTTATTCGTTCAACTCAAATTTCTGAAAATCGAAAATTTTTAATAAAAATATTCAATCATGATTCGGTAAGAAAGGATTCTGATTTTTCTTTTATCCAGCAATAGCTAATTAACTTTCTATTAAAATAATAAAAGTTTCAAGATTATAATTTAATGAAGGGACAAATAAAGATAAATTCTAAATTAAACGGTCGGTTTATTAAATAAGTTCTTCTCTAATAAAATATATATGATTATAAAACCAATCTGTTATTAAAACAATCCAATATGCAAATAATAAGTCCTCAATTTAACGTAAATGTAAATGATAATGCAAAGTTCAGTTTCGAATTAACATCCGAGAGAAATATTTCTTACGTAAATCACTAAAAGTTTAATCTCATTTTTTATTTTTCATGATATAATTCATAAGATTGAAGAAAAAAAAAAGCCGATTAAATTATACAGAAGTGTAATTTTATGAGTAAAACTGCTGACTAACAATTTCGTCCAAATATGAGAGTGTTCATTGTGGCTAAAATTTAGTTAAATAATTGAGCACACAGCTTGTATTATCATATGTCCTTGTAAAAGTAAAAAATAAAAATAAATACGTCTTTTTTAATATTGGCAGGAGATCGTAAACGATTATGAGAAGTTGTTGGAAACTAAGAAAGAGCATTACGCGCTCATTCAAATATTTTTTTGCTAGGTTAGTTTATTTTAAAAATTGGGCTGATATCGACGGCGAAGTGAATTATTAATTCGAATGCCCAACATTTCTCTATTTTATTTACAATGATTCTCAAGTAATGTAAAAAAAATCCTCAATCTTTTATCACTGCCGTAATTAAAAGAACCCAATTTATTTGTTTCATCTATAGTGGGATATTGATTTGATGGATTTAGTTGATGTCTTGGCAAGATATGAATCGGATCGCCCACTTTGATGAAAAAATGCTGTTTAAGAGGGATGATTGTTATCTGGATGAAATCGTAATTTGGAATTTGATCAAGTAGTACTTGGCGCAATATTAAATGTTTCTCAAGCCATCAAGTCATGGAACAAAGTGGTATAAAATACTCCTTGGTAAATATATCATATATCCTCGAATGATTTTATAATAGTCTTTCCTTTTAAAAGTTGTTACCAAAGGAACTATTTCATAAAATTTAGGAAATTCAAATGGTTGAGGATAAGTTATTTGAAATTGATGTACCGGGAAAAGTATTGCACGGTCAAGATTTAGATAAATGAGTTATTCATCGAGCAATATATTTTTTTCAGTAACATATTGGCTCGGTTGCATAAATGAAATATTTATTCACATCTTGAATTAATATGTTGCAATTCGTAAAAATCGAATTTGAAAATACTCTTTAAGTTCGATTTTGCGCAAGTGATAGTTTAATTAATGGATTTATTTTTTTAGAAAAAAGAGCATTATTACAGCAAATAATTGGGCTCAGTAACTCAGAATCATAAATAATATAGAACGTTATTGTGCAACTGTTATTTGATTTCTTTGCAAGAGAAACTAACAAACAGCTAAAAAACGAATTCTTTAGCGAAGCTTATCACATGCAAAAATAGAGAGAATTAAAAATTTTTTTGAATTTACACCTTTCAATGCTTTAAATTAAACAATTCAATATGTTACTATAATATGGATTAGTTTTCATATGAAAAAGTTTAGTAAATTATTTAAATCTTGATCGTGTAATACTCTGAAATGTTTGCAAGTTTTATCGAAAAGAATGATAGTTTTCATTTCAATTCAAGGAATAACCCGTATAAATTTGAGTTACTTTGCCGTGCGTGCTTTTAAGGATGTCTGTTGTTGACTATCATTGGGCAAAATTAAGGGATTCCACGAAATCGTAAGGTTGTACAAAAATACCTACAATCTGCAAAAATAAGCCACGTCCAGACGTGGCATTGTAGATAAACCCAAGCTACATGCTGCTGATGGATTATATACAACGAGTTTTCAAGTTTGCTAGGAAAGATATTTATTATTTTATGTTCAAGTTAGTTCCTTTTTTTCAAATCAACCAATCAAAAAGTTGTACTTTATTAAAAAAATTTTTTCGAAATTTTACAACCCGAATAAAAAAAAAAAATAAAAAAACAGAATTATTAAAGTAGTGGAAGAAGTGAAAAAAAAGAAGACAGAATTATTAAAGGAATGAAGAAGTGAAAATAAAACATATAAAAAGAAGACAGAATCATTAAAGGAATGTAGAAGTGAAAAAAATACTAAAAGAATATAGAATCAATAATTAAAGTGAAAAAAAAAATAAGTGAAGACAGATTTAATGAAGGAAAGAAAACAACAAAACAATAATAAAAAGAGATATAATTTTTAAGCAATGAATGAGTGAAAAAAAAATATTGAACGAATAATGTCTGTTAAAAACTATTATATTTAATAAAAACCCGAATTTTCAATAAAGGTATATAAATCTAATAAGTGAATGAGTCACAACACTTATCAGAGCATGCATCGAAATAGATTGCCGTATCAATCATCATAGGCGAAGTTTTTGCGCCATTGTTAAAAAATTCTGGCATGGACGAATCTGCGTAATTGTCAACTAATGTAACGTCGTCAAAACTGTTAATCGACGCGGCGTGTGCATCTTGATCGTTGAAGCTAGAAAACTTGTCAACGGGTTTTGCATCAAGAAAAGAGTCAAAATTGTTTCCTAACAACTCTAGATGAGAATCATAAGAGGTCTCAAAAATCGGATTAAAGTCTTGCTGCGGAGTATAATATCCATGTGAAATGTAATCATCATTAGAAGGAGATAACAAATATTGTGGATTGTTATCATATACTTCGGTGACTGGAGTTGGTGGAAGTTTTGAATATTCGTAATTTGGCGTGTGATTATGCAATGATTCGAATGGCTTATCGGCTGAGGGTGGAGGAGAGGGTAATGAGTTGGTCTTATTTGTGGCGTTAAACATCATTTCTGCTATTTCATTTATGACTTCTTCGGATAGTTTTGATGAATTATGTGCAACGGAAAATGAGGCACCTCGGGCTGATTTTTGCTTTTTAAGTTTATTTGGTTGATAAACGTAATCTGGATATGTCTGCATATGTTTCAATTTGATTTTGTCTGCCATCTTTTCCCATTCAAGCTTTTCGTTTTCGGGTTCTTTCCACCACATCTTGGAAATAACCTTTGATACGTCAGCATTAGATAAATGATTATTCTGAGCAATCACGTCTGGTTGCTTTGCTTTCCGGTATAAGATAAATGCATTCGGTGGTCGAGGTGTTCTTTTAGGTTTCTTTGCACGAGGTTTTCGTTGTTTAATGGATTTATTTGGCAGGTTGGTTTGGGCAATGGTTGTAGTCATTTTTTGGGAGGGTTGTGAGGAGTCATTTAAAATAGGTCTTACATTATCATTATTATTTTTTAGACCTTTTTCTTGACTTTTTCCAGAAATATCAAAAAATAATAAGTGGCAATATTTTTTCATAGCTTCATCCATTTTATATCTCGAAGAAAGGAAATAGGTTTGGTTTGAGAAAAGAGGGTTTATTGAACAATTGTTGATCAAGTTAGATTTTTATGTTTTAAATAAAACTTTGTAAGAGATAAATGTTTGTTGTTGAGATTTTATTATGAATAAAAAAATTTAATTGTTGAAAAATTTGACTCTTTTTATAAAGAAATTCCTCGTTTCTGTTCACGTGAGACATTCTATAAAAACTTTCAATAATGGGGGGAGTATACTATTATTAAATTCATAAAATAATACTTATTTTTCCGCTATTGGCTTCTCGATTTGTGTCGTGCATGAAGGTTTTTTTATTTATTTATTTATTCATTTAAATTGCGTTACTTTAGCATGTTGATCAAGAGATATTCTTTTACCCACCCGATATTCGATTTTTTTGGCGTCAAAACCTTATTACGGGATTATCTTTTAAAATAATCACCATCTTATCCGCAAATCGTAAAATTTGCTTGGATATAATTGGTTCATGTGATCATGCATTTTTATCCAGGGTCATTTGGACATGAGTGAAATTAAAAACGTGAATGAAATGATAAATATCCTTTCTACCAGATAATAGTGTTTAATTTAATTAGATAAATTAGATAAATGTTAGATAAATATAAATCAACAGCGATCTTTCCGTAAATAAAAACATATATACCGAGTCCTGCATCAGAATTCAATAAAAATCCAAAATTGGCCAATAACTTTTATTGGCGAAAAAATAGTAAACTTTTTTTTATTTCACGAGAAATAGGCTTTATTAAATTAATTCGACATTCTAAAAGAGAGAAACCATAATCTATATAGATTTAAAATGAATTTTTGTCTAATGAGAGTAAGTTTACCTCCTTGACATTGAATTATACTTCGAAAAACCTGCATTTTTACCAAATTTTTTTTGAATTATTTTTTTATCATATTTAACCATAATGTTTAAACAATCGAAATTTTACTTGACCTATTCTTAGTAAAGTTGTAATTTTTTCTTTTTTTTTCTCATCGGAAATTCCAAGAGACGGAATCTCGAACTAATTAAAATTGTGTAATAAATAAAACTTAATTTTTGTCAAACTATTCATAAAACGAAATGGCTGATAATGCTGATAATGATGTCCGTCGTATTAATCAATTATGTTATATTCATGCACATTATATTGCGAACCGTCACCAAGTAGGTTTGGAATACACTCCAGTTTTCTAAATTTATAGCACTTTATAGTTGTAAGTTTTACCATTTGAAACATTAATATATAGATATATATATATAAACTTCACCAATTCAATGAACTTATTTTCGTTAAGTTCTAAAAAAAAAATGAATTTATTAAATTATGCATCCGAGTGTTCAACTTTGTGTCGCATTAAACACGTTCGATTTAAAAAATTAACTTCAAAACAATGCCAAAAGAAGATATGAAGTACGATTTTATGAAAGGGCTCTTGGTTGTCTCACATTTTCAAACTTTATTTTTATTTGTCAAATTTTAATATATATATATATATATATATTTGCGACAATAGAAAAATATACAAATTTAGCCTGGAGTCTAATTGGTTTGCCGAAAGACTTCAATATATGTTTAATCTCTTCTACAATGTTTTCTAATTTAATTAAACTTTTTATTACATGCATAATCATAACATCTCTTATCCCTATTTTCGATCCGAATTTTCGGAGGATAATTTTATTTTTTAAAAAAAGCGGGAAAATACGCGAGAAATAATTTATACATCAATCGATAAGGACGAAAATTCCACAATTTCTTTCCTTACATTGAACTTAACTTTTTGCACATGATTTCCTTTTCTAGAATAAAATGAAATTAAAGATATGAAATTTTTTTTTTTTATTAAATATTAAAAATATTTCGGCCAATATCTAATTTACAATTGAATTCTCTCCCATAAAAATCTGTGAATGCAGGTTACATGAACATGAAAATATTTGCATGCTCCCCTATAGGATGATACGATTGGAAATATAGTTTTTCCTTTTTATCTTTTATTCTAATTAAAGCGTTTTTTTTTTTAAAAAAAATAAAAAAAGGGAAAATGTATCGCATCTTTTAAAGTTAACGAATAATTTTTATTTCACATCTTGATAAAAATAACTTTTTTTTTTTTGTGTAAAAATTCTTTATTAGTGTTACAAATATTTAAGTGATATCATGTGAATACACCTCAAAATGATCTTATAGATTTTAATTTGTTTTGAGATCTTAAATCTTATATACAGTTATACCGTTGGTAACCTTAGAAAATTTTCCCTTGTTCCACTATATTTTGGAATCCGTTTAATTCGTTGTTGAAATTTTCCGAATATATTTCTGTTTAAAAAAATGAAAAAGGGAGGGGTTGGTTTAATATAAAGGAAAGTTGGTTTAGACATAACGTTTGATTGTCCTAAAAGACGGACGGAATGTAGTGTATGGTGGTACTAATGCTTAATGGAAAAAAATACAGTTTTGGCGTCGACAAAAAAAATCCACAATGGTTCCTAAATCTACAACCTCGACAGACATATGAATTAGCAGTACCTCTTTGAATATATGGCAAACTGAGTCACCTTAATCACGGGGTGACAACTTAAAAGTACAAAAAATAGAAAAAATAGGTATTTTTTAACCGTTATGAACTTAAAGAGAAATACTAAGCTATTTACGGGAAAATTAAATTAATTTTATTCAGAAAATGTTACATTGCAGTAAAGATTTTTAGCCCAATAATAATAAATCATACTAATTTTAAATCTTTTCAAAAATTTTTCTCCGGAGAAATTCCCCCGAATGAGTTGAATTACTATAATTAATCCAATAATTCTTCATAGTTTGGTTTGTACTTAGAACCTTGATAGAAAAAGAGTTTGATTTTTAGATACTATAAAATAATTCCTAACATTGTAATACCAATACTGTACTACTAAAAATATTATTTTTGCATTATTATTATTTTGGCTGTTATAAAAAAATTATTAAATTTACCTTTGGAGATATATATAGGAATATTGTTACACTAATTTCGTAAAACTTTAAATTTGGCTATCCAAAAGTATTGAATTAATTTTAAAGATACTAATTAATAATATTTTTTTAATAACTTTTTAATAAGAAATTTTTTTTTATAAATAATGATTTTAAAATAATTATAATTTATTGATTCAATTAGGTCTAAAATAAAATAGGTTTTAAATATTTTTAAATAATGACTTTTAAAATTATAATGTAATAACTAAGGATGGTACCGCAATTGTTTTTTCAAATCTGCAATATTGCGGATTTTTGAATTGAATTACGCATAGTAATCCGCAATTCCGCAATTC